AGCTCTCGGTAGACCCTCTTCTCCCCTCCCGATCCTCCCGCCCGAAACTTCTCCATCCCCCGAAAGAACCTTTTGTCCCCTCCTGAGCCGTCCCCTCCGCCCTCAGCAGCCCCGCACCCCATGGATGCAGAGCCTGGCCTGGCATGGACAGGGAGACGCGCGTGTTCGCCGAGAGCCATTTCCGAGGCCTCCGGGGGCGTCTCCCCAGCAAGGTCTGCCCCACCCCGGACCGCGTGGACTTTATCGAGAAGCCCGACTCCTTTTCCTACACGGACTTCTTCAAGAGTTACCTGCTCCCCAACGTGCCCTGTGTTTTCTCCAGCGCCTTCACCGAGGACTGGGGCAGCAGGAAGCACTGGGTGACACCCAGTGGGAAGCCCGACTTCGATTATCTGCTTCAGAATTATGGTAGGACTGAGGGCGAACGCAAGCCAGGGCTAGAGCAGGGTCCTCTTATTCTCCTCCTGCCAGATTCCCTTAGTCATATTACAAGGGCCGCAAATGAGGGTAGCCACCGAGGGTTTGGGGAGAAGGCATGAGTGGGCTCCCAAAGGAATTCATGCGGAGACGGTATAAGCAGTGAGTTGGAGGGTGGGCAGGATCAAAGAATGAAGAAGCTGGAGGACTCAGAAAAGTATGTGCCTGACCCTCCCTTTTCAGGAGATGTAGTTGTACCTGTGGCAAACTGCGGGGTCCAGGAATACAACTCGAACCCTAAAGAACACATGCCCCTCAAAGATTACATCAGCTACTGGAAAGAGTTCATCCAGAGAGACTACTCCTCTCCTCGGGGCTGTCTCTACCTCAAAGACTGGCACCTGTGCAGGTAAAGGTGTGGTGCAATGGCCACGGCACTGCTTTTTCCAGGCTTGAGTGAGTCCTGGCTGCACACAGGCGATGTCCTCTTTTCCCCAGTTAGGAATTTTAATCCGTATAAAAAAAAATCCAGCTCTGCAGCACTGTGTGGCCAAATCATGGTATGCACGCAGTTGGCTGCTGTGGAGAGTGGGATTGGTGGAGGAGCAGGTGGGCTCTGGTAATTACATCTTTGTCACATTTGCTCAGCGCTTCCATCTAACTGGCAGCACCAACTCTCCAAAGAGAACTTTCTTTGTCTGCTCCCTTTACACACTTCCACCTGGGAGCTCAAGCAATGCTGCTCTGAAAACATCTCACTTTCACTGTTGTGACCACTTTCTAAGGGGTCTTCTGGTTTTGTTTCCATCTCCCCTACCCAGGGGCATGCTTTTCACCAGCAGAAACCATCCTAATCAGACTCCCCTTAGCTGGCACAAAGGTGTTTAATTAATGTTGGATGAATGAGTGCACAAATTGAATTCTTGTTTGCTGATGTGGAAACTAAGGCTCACAAAGGTAAAATGAGACTAGAACTAAGGCTCATATGATTCTAAGACCACTGCTAGAATACGCGAGACACGCCAGCGCCAGCCCCCACCCACAGCACCCATAGCATGTCCTCCGTGTTCCTGCCACAGCTCTTTGTATTGGGCATGGAACTTGGTTAAGGTGTGGCCAGACACTGATCCTGGCCCTCGGGCACTCATAGGCCCTGATGCTTATGCAGTGTGGATTTGAGCTTCAGATAAGCAATGAGTGTGGGGGGGGAGGGGTTGTTTGTTTATTGTTTTTTTGGTGTAAATATATCCCAAGTGTGCATGGGGCACACCTGTACTAAAAACTTCATTGTTTGAAATTAGGTATTGACTGAGTGTTCTGGCAACAGTAAAATGAAGAGAGCAGAGCAGGCCTGAGCTAGGCAGACATGGGAGGCACTGTCTGAACAGAGTTTGTGAATGGGCAGGGGTCTGAGTGCACAAGGCATGGTGTTGGGGGAACTCCAAGTGGTTTGGTGGTACTGGGTTCTCCTCCTGGCCTCTGACCAAGTATGATGTGTGAGCCTGCCTGGCATTCTCCCTTGGGCAGGTTTAACATGCTCCTGTGTTTGAGAGCCTATAGTTGGGCTGTGGGATCCACCAGTGGAGTAAGGATTTGAGAGGCTGAGGGTGAAAAGGACCTTGGTGTTCATGGCAGTCCTTGTGCCAGGGCCTGTGGCCTTGTGTCTGCTCAGCAGAGTCAAGGTCACTGGTATGGGTAAAAACACCAAAGCAACCCACAAGTTCAGAAAACAGTGTAATTCCAATGATGCATTTAGAACCCAACTCTAAAATCCACAGTCTGAAATCCTGGACCATGTGTTGGAGGGCCCAGAGCACATGGGTTGCTACCTCCATGGGTGGTCTAACCCTGTCACAGCACCCCTCGGCCGTCTCATCACCGTGGTTCAGATATTTGGGTGAGCTCAGCTAGGGTCATCCGATGGACAGACCAGGGCTGGGTCATATGAGGTGGCCCCACTCAGCCTGGCAGTTGGTGCTGGCCCTGGAAGGCAGCTCAGGGACCCTCATATCAGTGACCATTGTGTTTGGGAGCATGGAGATGGCAAGATCCTCATGCCAGTTGCTCTCTGAAGGTACTCCTCTGCCGAGGGCTTATTCACCTTGCCCGTGTACTTCTCGTCCGACTGGCTCAACGAATACTGGGACACCCTGGACGTGGACGACTACCGTTTCATCTACATGGGGCCCGCTGGCACCTGGTAACCATGTATCCACTCCCACCCACTGCCCTGCACCTTGTCCCCGATCACTCTCCTGAGCCATGTTGGCACTCTCAGAGCCTCTGTGAGATTGCTCTTGGCCAGGCCAGGGAGTCAGCTGCCAGGTCTGGCATTTCCAAGCCCATTTCCTTCTTTCGTGGCTCTGCTCAGAACCTGTGTCCCTCCTGCGGGATATTCTGAAGTGGGGAAGGTCTGGCTCACCCCTGTGGCTCACAGATAGGTGTGAGAGCTGGGGACCTTGAGCCTCTGAGTGTGGCCAGTCTATTTGGAAGAACCAAAGCCCATGCCCAGGCCATGAGACATCAACAGGGACTCTTCGCAGGTCGCCATTCCATGCCGACATTTTCCGCTCCTTCAGCTGGTCTGTCAACATCTGCGGGAGGAAAAAGTGGTTCTTCTTCCCACCAGGGCACGAAGAAGCCCTGCGGGATTGCCACGGTGGCCTGCCGTACGACGTGACCGCCCCTGAGTTCCTGGATAGCCACCTGCATCCTGTGCTAGAGGTCACACAGGAGGCAGGCGAGATGGTGTTTGTGCCCAGCGGGTGGCACCACCAAGTCCACAATCTGGTAGGGTGGGTACACCCTGCTTCACATGCCCAAGAGGTAGTCCAGGCAGGCAGGGAGAGATGCCATGGGGTTTTACCAGGCTGGCTTTGAGCCCCTTTCAACTGGGCCTCTCAGCCTGCTCTTGGACTTTTCTTGATGCTTCCTGAGGAGAGAGGGCTGTGGCGTCCCTACTGACTCCACAGTTGGCAGGTTGTCCCTCTGGGTGGTAAGGCAGGCCATAGTGAGGCTGGGCCCATGTGTAGGCTTGTTGACCCCACACAGCATTGCTAAGGGTTCCATCCCTCCCACATCACTTTCCTAGTCCTCACACAGTAGGGTTGTCCAGCCCCTGGGGAGCCTCACCCTGGACTAGCTATGGACTCAGATGGTCCCAGACTCGGTTCCTTCTTGCCTGCTGACACTCACTGGGAGATAGGAGGGTGAGCCTTTCTCAGCTGAGGAGGGCTGGGAGGGCCTCAGGATGGGGGAGGGGACAGTGCCCCTGTGGGCTTTTGGGGACAGCATGCAATCTGCCTCTTCCAGGAGGACACTATCTCCATCAACCATAACTGGGTCAATGGCTGTAACCTGGCCAACATGTGGCATTTCCTGCAGCAGGAGCTGTGTGCCGTGCAGCAAGAAGTCAGCGAGTGGAGGGACACCATGCCAGACTGGCACCACCACTGCCAGGTGGGGTGTTTGGCCTGGACAAGACTGGGGACAGGGAGAGGCCAAGGCGTGGGAGGTTGGCGGGAGCTCACCAGAGACAGGCTACAGTGAGGGGAGAGGTGGCTACCTGGTTTGCTGGTAAGAGGGTCAATCCGGGGCTGAGGCAGATAACCAGGGCTCAGACCAATCCATCACTGGCTGGCCCCTAGGTATCTGTCTCCATCCTCAAAGACTGGTCCATGGCTTGGGATCCTTTGCAGCTGGGACTCTGTCCACAGTCAGCAGAAACTTGCCTGGAGTTGCAGGTGAGCAGTAGCTCACTGGCCTCTCCTTTCTGCTCCAGGTCATCATGAAGTCCTGCACCGGAATTAATTTTGAAGAATTTTACCAATTCCTCAAGGTCATTGCTGAAAGGAGGCTCCTCCTAGTGAAGAAGATAGGCCCTGGTGAACTGCAGTGCAGTGAGGACTCTGGGCTGGGCCTCCAGCACACCATTTTTGACATCAGCCGGATTGCTGAGGTGCTGGCATCTGTGGTGGTCAACCCCGACTTCCAGAGAGTGGACACCAGCAGGTTTTTGCCGCAACCAGAGGACCTCCTACAGCAGCTGCAGGAGGCCCTGGCCACCACAGAGCCTCTTTAGTATGTGCCATGAGCGTTAGTTGGCAGCCTGACAAGGACCCTCAAGGCCCTGCGCCAGGGTCCCTTTCAGAAATAAAGCTCCATCCTCTGTGGGCTGGGACATGTAGCCTCCCAGATATGTTCCTGCTCTTAAGGGTCTGGTAGTGTCCTGGCATCCCAGACTTCAGTGCCTGTTCAGAGGGTCCAGGTTCCTTGTCCTTGGAAGGCCCAGCAGGACTGAAGACTCAGATCTCGTGAGCGGGTGGGTGAAGAGTTGTTGGTAGCTTGAACCTGTGGCAAGGCTGTGGGTATGCTGGGGACTCAGGAGTGTGAGCAGCATGTGGCTGATTTTTCTTGGTGTCCCTAGCCTGCCCTTCGCAGAGACCAGCACCAAGCTGATGGGCTT